CTATGAGTCGGAAACGACTCGATGGCACATAACAACAACAACAATGTAGACAAATAAGTAGTTATGACCTCATTACTAAGTGTATATATTTATCTTATATCCTAGAAAGAGAAAGGTCTCAGAGGGAGGAGGGACACATAGAGGTATTTAGATTTAGCCTTAGACACCCTTACAGATGTGATGCCTTCCTTTACCTGAGTGAGAAGTACAGAGCCTTCTCCTCCCACCGCTACTCTCTCACTCACCTGACATGCTATCACTCCGGTATTCAGGGAAATTAATCTGTGGTTGTTCATCTTCTTCCAACCTGGAGAGTGCATCAGGTTTCCGAGGTTGATATCCTGTTCATGGGAAAACAGACAATGTTAGACACAGCAAACTGATGACAGTTTTTAAAAGAAGCTATTAATAAGGGGAAAAATATATTAATGGAAACAGAAAAATATCAAAAGAACAAAAAAAAAAGTTTTTCTGGTAAAAGTTAAAAGATAATATCCATTGATCGAAGGCCAGGAGTAGAACTAAGAACCTGCAACTTCAGAGGACCACAGACACTCCAAAGACTTCAGCAGCGGGGAGAGGAGAAAGTCAAGCCAGGAGACTTGTCCTCACCAATGGACACCAGGTTTCTGTAGTTCTCCAACATCACGTTGTGGTGCAAGGCCTTTTGAGAAGAGTCTAGAAGCTCCCATTCCTCCCCAGTGAACTTCACAGACACATCACTGAATGTCAGTGCTTCCTGTAAGAATAAAGACAGCCTATCTGATGAAGTCATTTCCACCTAGGTTATGGATAAAACGTGAAAGAAACTGTTGAGTTCATTGCCTGCGTGGAGACTGCTGAATTTGTATACACAACTTATGGTGGTATTAGACATCTTAGAGAAGACAAAAGATCTTTACACAATATTTTAAATTTATATGTTCAGTAATACAGACATTGGTAAAAAGTAAATTTTCTTAAATGCACAAAAGTAACATTATTTATATAAGCTAGAAAGTTTTCACATATATTTAGAAAAAAAAACCATTTTATACGTACACTCCACAAATATGCATTTATCAATATTAACAGGGACATTGCCTCCCATTTTTGTGAGATGGGAATCAGTAGAATAATAGTTAACAGCGGTAGCTGTTAGAACAGGTCTAATTTCAAGGATTTCCGGATCTGTCTCGACCCACGATTTTTTTTCCCACTTCCAACAATGCTGCCTTTTCCCCAGCACTCTGCTCTGGTCAGTTCACTAACCCACTGTGAAGACCACAGAGACTGTCCTGAGATTTACAAATGGTTTACGAAGGAACAGAGTAAGATATTGGATGTCGCCACCGGCTCTGCCACTGGCCTCTTCTGGAACTGGAGCCATCAATTCCCTCGGGGACCCTCCAGGCCTGTTGTCACTGGGTCTGCTGCGGAGCCCCCAGACATCTCCTGGGGTCACCACTTAGAAGAGCTTCCTTGCTTCTCTTCTCTCTCCTTCCTTCTGCTTCTTTTCTCACGTCTTTCTGTTTGAAAAACCTCTGTACAGTTTGTTGCTTATATGTAAAAACTTCTTTTCAATTTGAAAACGTGGACATGAACCAGCCAAACTCCTCCTGATGGGCCTCAAACATGGAATTCACAGGACAGGCGTTGCTAGGCGACAATTATCCATACGCATACAAGGGAGTCGAATGAATGTCACTATCATTCAAATATATGCACCAACGACTAGAGCCAAAGATAAGGAAATAGAAGATTTTTACCAACTTTTAGAGTCAGGAATCTTCTAACATGCAAGCAAGATACATTAATAATTCTGGGTGATGGGAAAGCAAATGATGGGAATGGAGAAAAATGAGTAGAAGTTGGAAAACATGGACTTGGTGACAGAAATGAAAAACCTGGAGACAGAATGAGAGAATTCTGTACAGTCAACAATTTATTCATTGCAAATACTTTTTATAAGAAACACAAATGCAGGCCATACACGTGGATTTCACCTGATGGTATGCATAAGAATCAAAATGATTACGTCTGTGGAAAGAATCGGTGGAGAAGTTCTCTACCAGCTGTGACATTTAGGTGCTGACTGTGGAATAAACCACCATCTACTCATATACAAGTTCAACCTCACGTTAAAAAAAATGAAATCAAATACACAGGAAACAAAATTTGACCTTGAGTCTGCCCTACTCAAATTTCAAGACTATCTTGGAACAAGTTTGAGGCCTTGAAGATCAATGAGCAAAGACCAGGTCCGCTGTGGGAGGATATCAAGTACATCATCCCTGACGAATGTAAAAGGACATTACAAAGGCAGAGGAGGAAGTAAAGACCAAGATGGATGTCAGACAAGACTCTGAGTATTGCTCTACAGCGCCAAGAAGCCAAAACAAAGAGAAGAAATGAAGGAACTGAATAAAAGATTTCAAAGGGCAGCAAAGGAAGACAAAGTATTACAATGAAATGTGCAAAGACCTGGAGTCAGAAAATCAAAAGGGCCTAACTCGATCAGTATTTCTGAAACTGAAAGAACTACAGAAAAAATTCAAGCCTCAAGCTGCAATACATAAGAATGCTTGGGGCAAAAGAGTAAATGATGGAGGAAGCATTAAAAGAAGATAAAAGGAGTATACAGTCCTGAACCAAAAGGAAGTAGGTGACACATAAGAATTTAATGAAACAAGGTATGACCAATGTAGGAACATTAATTGCGTTGATGAAGATAGAAGTTCAAGCTGCTCTGAAAAGAATTGGCAAAAAACAAGGACCCAGGAATAGACGGTTTATCAACTGACATATACCAACAAACAGATGCTGCCCTGGACGTGCTCACCAAGTTGTGCAAAGAAATCTGGAAGACAACCACCTGGCCAACTCACTGGAAGAGATCCGTATCTGTTCCCACTCCAAAGAAAGGTGACCCAACAGAGTGTAGAAATTATCAAACAATATGATTAATATCAGATGCAACCAACATTCTGCTAAAAAATACAAAATAAAAAAAAAGACTGAAATAGCACTTCAACAGGGAACTGCCAGATGCAACACGCTAGGTTTAGAGATCATGGTACTAGGGATATTATAGCTAAAGTAAGATGGAAATGACCAGAGGAATGTCTATCTGTGTTTTACTGACTATGCAAAGACATTTGACTGTGTGGATCACAACAAACTGTGGCTAACTAAGAAAGATGGGAAATCCAGAAGACTTGATTGTGCATATGTGAAACCTATACTTGGACCACGAGGCAGTCATCAGAACAGAACATGGAGACAGTCCATGGTCAAAGATCAGGAAGGGTGTACGCCAGGGATGTACACTATCTCCATACCTTTTCAACCTATATATAAAACAGGTCATCTGGGAGGAAGGGCTCTATGTGAAGGAATATGCCCAGGATTGGAGGAAGACTCTTCAACATCCTGTTATTCAGATGACCCAACTCTGCTTGCCGAAACTGAAGACAACCTGTTGTACTTGCTGCAGAAAGGTCAAGTACTGCAGCCTTCAATATGCACTGAAGCTCAACATCAAGAAAACAAAAGAGTCTCACCTCTGGGTTGACTGGCAGCATCAAAACAGATAATGAAAGAGACTGAGATTGTTCGTTTTAAACAGCTTTAGTTGTGCTTGTCTCCACAATCAACACTCTTGGTACCAGTAGCCAGGAAATCAAAAGATGAACTGCACTGGATAACTCCACTGTCAGGGACCTCTCCAGATTACTGGAGAGTAAAAATGTCAGTCTGGAGACTAAGGTGCACCTGATCCTATTCTTTGCAATAACTTGTTATGCGTTAGAATGGTGGACAATGACTAGGGATGATAAAAAAGAGAACTGACGTCTTTGAGCTGTGGTGCTGGAGAAGAGTATTGAATATACCACGGACTGCAAGGAGAACGAACAAGATCACCCTAGAGAGGGTGAGAGAAGGCTTCTCCTTGGAGGAAAGGATTCTAAAGCTTTGCTTGACACACTTTGGACATGCTGCAAAGAGGCACCACTTCTTAGAGAACAACATTATGCTTGGAAGGGTAGAGGGACAATATAAGAGAGGAAGATTCTCGATGAGATGGACTGATTCAGTATCTGGGGTAATGGGGATAGGTGTGACAGAGACTATAATGTTGGCACAGGATAGATTAGGGTTCAAAACTGTTGTACATATGGTCTCTAGTAGTCCCAAGTGACTCGAATGCACTGAACAGCCAACAACAACTGAAAAAATCTCTACACCATACATAAGTCATGCCACAGCGGCAGCCTGCCAAAAATGGGAAAAATAAAAATCTCTGCTACTTCCCTAAGTCATGTGCCCATAACCAGTAGAAAAGGAGAAACATTCTTAAGTTGAAGATTAGGGTAAACGTAAAGCTGCAGGATTTACGAGGAAAATCTTTCAACTCGATTGTACAAAGAACCTAGCAAAATAATAGAGTCAAAGGAGGGATGGCTGGTGTCACAATTGTTAACAAGGTTGGAGACAGAAGATTTCACCTTCCTGCAACTCACAAGCTCAAGGAAACAGCCTTGAGCTGAGACTGACGGGGAGTCTTGCTCCCATGTGAAGTGTGAAGGGAACAGATAGCTCCTCCAAGCTGTTAATCTTAAATGGTCAGACATTAATTTTCTTGTGGTTGTGGACTGTGGAGTAGGAGCTGACCCAATCCAGGGTTTTTTCAGAGCCAGTAAATCACATGAGAAGTCATTTCCCATTTTCCTCCAGCACAGCAGCGGATGTGTTCAAATCTCTCTCCTTTAGGGAAGGTAGGCAGCTTTCTTACCACTAGGTCACTGGAGCATCCTAGATCTCTCAGGAAAAGACTCCACATCTTTCTCTGCAGGAATCACTGGTTGAATGAAACGGTACGTCTTTTGTCTTGAAGCACATTTAAGCACTGTAATTTCATTCTACCTGTGACTTTTTCAATTTTCAAGATAAACTCAAAGTTCTGCCACTTTCACCATGCAGCAGGTTACCAAGGAAAATCTAAAACAAAGCAAAAGTTACCTGAGCCGTCACCATCCTCTTCTCTACTTGGGACATTCTCCCACCTTGAAACTCTGTCTCAGTCCTTTCTTGGTAAGTTCTAATTCCTGTTCAGCAATCTCAGACTCCCATGGATGGTGTCCCTGGAAGAGACAATACACAAATCCTGTCATCTTGTTATTAAAACAGAAAGAACAAGATGAAGATGGCCAAACCTGACTTCTACACACAACAGAAACCCAATGCCCATGAGGTCAGGCATGACTGCCAAGCTGTCTAGCCTATTTTCTACAAATTCGAACAACAAATGCTACTGTTCCAGTCACTCATCTGCTGCAATAGCTAACTAGATTTCACAGAAACACACCCATGATTCTGGGGTTTCTCAGGGAAGTTAACAGGCTCCTACGTGGACTAGCAACAGCATTAACCATCTAAGGCAGTACAGCTTCTGATACGTGCTTGCAGGACTTTCACTTCTCTGCCTTCAGCCAAACTCCATTAATCTGATAACAGCCCCAGGTCCCAGTGCACAAGATTCAGGGGCTTCTGATCTCCCAAAGCTTCCGCACCTAAAACTCCGGAGAACCGACCCTGACCTCCATCACTATGAGATTAAAGCGAAGCTGGACCTGCTGCCCCTCTGCTACCTATGCCTGGACTCCACCTTCACAGTCACTATTAAACCCTGATCCCAGATGCAGCATTAGGGGGAATATACCACCTCCCAGCCCGACAGAGCCGAGGGGTCCGCACACGTCCCAGACCCTCCAATATTGAAGCCCCACGTGGGAGTCTGCGGGTTTCTTTGCAGCACTTCCGGCGCGGCGGAACGTCACGCGCTCACTATAGTTACCTCGCCCAATTTAAAGAGCAAAAGACGAAAACTGATCTGTTTAAAGTGTTTTGGTGGATATTTTGGAGTTACCCAAACTCCAGGGAAGGTGAACGAACAAGAACAACCTCCTTTAGCCGCTTGATTCAGAAATGTGCGACTCCGCCCGCTTGTGACGTAACACCTGCGACAACGGTGCCCGACGAGGGTCTGAATTGCTCCACGTTTAGCGAACGCGAACCTTAGCAGGACCTCTGTACATTGTAACCATGCAAATATGGAAACAAATTCCCTTTCCAGAAAGTGATGGTTGATCGGGGATCTTCTAAAAGTCTCCTAAACAAAGCCCGACAACCTGCACTGGCCCTTCCTTCTTTAATTTTGATGGAGCTTTTCAAACATTTGCTTTGGAGGGAATGTAGGTGCTTCTGGTCTGGGCTCCTAGCCCCTCCCCCCTTTGTTGGCACACGTGACATGTCACTCAGGTGGCTTATGTTTTATTTTCTGTTGTCTTACTTTAATTATAATAATGCCATTATATTAACTGCTGAAGATATTTCTCAGTGACCACATTATGTTAATGTTCTAATTATGCACCTAAAAAAAAAAAAAGAAAAAAGAACCTTAAATCTAAAGACGTTTTCAGGGACTAAGAATGTTGGGGAAAGTTGTTTGGTTAATTGAATGAAAAGTGTCTATTGCTAGAAGACAAAGTATAAACTTACTCCTTCTATACATCATAAAAGAAATGTGACTCTGTCAAAATTGACCAAAGAGTTGTGGAAGGCATGAAAGACTGTGAGAATTAATGACACAATAATAGAATCCATAAGAAGGTATATTTCTGTTAATTACTAAAAAGAGAATAAGAGTAGTACTCTTTCTGGTGGCCTAGTGGCAAGAAGCTGCACTGCAATCCCAGAGATAGAAGGTTCAAATCCACCAGATGCTCTGCTGGAGAAGGAGGGGCAATCTCCTTCTGTACCAGTCAGATCCGATTTGACAGTACACACACAAAACAACAAAATTTTTTAAAAAAAGAGTAGTACTCTTAAAAAAATATAATACTCCTTTAAAAAGAGGTCTTCAGGTGAGCTCTCGTGGCGTGGCGTAGTCATAAGAAGCTACACTGCAATACCAGAGGTGGTGGTGGTTGTTATGTGCAGTCGAGTTGCTTGCGACTCATAGCGACCCTATGTACAACAGCCCTAAACCCTGCTCTATCCTGTACCAATCGCATTGCCTTTGACACTCCCATCGCGATGACCCCAGTCACTGAATCAATCCACCTCATAGAAGGCCTTCCCCTTCTGCGCTGTCCCTCCACCCTCCCAAGCATGATGTCCCTCTCCAAGGACCTGTCACTCCTTGCAACATGTCCAAAGTATGTTAGATTGAGCCTTACAGTCCTTGCCTCCAAGGACCAGCCCGGTTTGACCCAGGAGCGAAGCAACCTAGGCTTGGCCTAGGGTTTGAGGCATGAGGCGGCCTTAAGACCAAAGGCAGTTGGGAGAGGAGACGGCCATGTTCTTCCTGTTAATAACTTATTAGCATTAAAAAATTAAACACTTTTGTTTAAACATTGTGTTTAAACATTTCAACATTTTTGTTTTGCGTGTAAATACAAATACATAAAGAGATTTAATAGGAAAAATACTTAGCAGAGCAAATCATGGAAATAAGGCACCCTTAGCCCCCTGAGTCACTGAGATCAGAACCTTTAGAGAACCTGAGTTAGAAATAAAGAAGCTAAGGAGGGAGATGACATAACAGGGACACTTTCCTACAGGAGTGAAACAGCCAGTGAGGTTTGCAATGTCCAATTAGAACTCACTGCACTGAAGGTGGTTCTTACTTCTGGGACCCTCATTAGTTTCCCGAGGGTGTAAGGCTTTATGGACAGACTCTCTTTCTTCTGCGGAGCAGCTGGGGGTTTTGAACTGCTGATTTTGGGCTTGGAAGCCTCAAGTGCAATGGACTGAATCACCTGATTCCTTGATTTATATGCAAGGAAGGGAAATCTGTGTTACCTACAAGTAGCAGACATGCTGAAGTCACAGAACACTTAGGATAGAGATTCAGAAGGTAGAAGCTCATAGTGAGGGAGGTGGAAGGGTAAGAGGAAGAGAAAGATTTAAATCGTAGAAAGAAAAATATGATCAACTGAAAAAAATACGTTTATCCTCCCTAGTCACTGTCCAAATCTCTGACGTATACCAAGTGATAGCAAAGACCATGGTCTGGATCAGACGCACCTTAGTCTCCAGAGAGACACCGTTGCTCTTCAGTACCTTGGAGCGGACCCCAACAGAAGATTTTCCCATGGCAATACGTCTTTTAATTTCCTGGCTACTGGGACCAAGAGTGTTAGTGTTGACTGTGTGTATCATCAAATCAGATCTGATTGGTACAGGAGGAGATTGTCGCTCCTCTCCAGCAGAGCATCTGGAGGATTTGAACCATGAGCCTTTGGGATTGCAACACAGCTTCTTGCCACGAGGCCACCAGACCTCCCTTGGAGTTGGTTTTATTATGGACAACTCCACTCGTCTTACAGTTGGGGTGAGAGTGTTAAACGGCTTGACTTCTTGCTTGTGCCTTTTCTGGGAAAGGACTGGGTTCTCACTTCGAAGGAGGACACCTTGTAACTCTCTACGTTTGAGAATTCTTAGTGTTATTTTCTTCCTCTTCCTGTACTATCATTACACCCAGGGGTACTGGTTTTCGCGTCTGACAGATTTCAGGGGTGTCTAAAGAGCTTCTGCTGAGATTTTGTTTCTTTCTGTGACATCAAGTTCAGCTGCCTCGTCCAGGGCCTGTGTGTTTCCTCCAAGGGTGAAGTAGTGAAGCCACTTGCCCCGGCACAGAGCCTTGGGGAGCCACAGTGTCTCCATGCTGTAAAGTTTATCAATCTCCTTGAGGAGGGTCGATTGGTCTGATTGGATTTGCTTGGATCTGATCTGCACTTCACATTAGAAGTATCTGAGTAAGGAGGAGAGGTTTTGGCTCCACAATAAATTGTTCTTGGTCATCTGATGGATGCCTTTCCTAGCCACTGGAGACAGGGTGCTTTGGTAAAAGCTCCTGGACCCAAAGCAAGGCCTTAGAAATACTCTGCTAGTCCAACAGGCAAGAAATCGACCCCAATCAAGTGGACATTAGACTGCTGACACCAAATTCCTTCTGACTCTTGCCATCCGTTCTCTCGTTCACAGAACTCTGTGGAGTTGACTACTTATACTGTCAAAGTCCTCTTAAATTTCAAGATGAACCCTCCAATCTCCCCTTGCGGGGCCTGAAACACTGAATTTGCAACACAGACATGGCTTGAGGGAAGTCGAATATCAAATTTAATAACAGTAGAACAAATGCTATATCAGGAAATGAGGGAAGGTGAATACAAGACGGAGGTCACCCTGTAGCACTAAGATTGTCCCTAAAAGTCAACATTGTTCTTAGTTTGTATAAACTGAATTACTCCCTCCTGAGATTAGCATCAAGAGGAACTTGGCCTTATCTGCAAAAGACTTCCCCCATGGTCCCTTGTTTTTGTTTTATACTTCCTTATGATTTTACTTCGTTTACCTTCCCTATGATTCTTAATAAATACTCAGAAAGGCATGGCTTGAGACCTTCAGTCATGGGAACTTCTAGCCCCCTGTTTTTCATGCTCTCTATTCTATCTCATTCCTGGTAGTCTGTCTCAATATTAATAATTATAAAAATACTTTACCCTCCATCTGCAACACTGGCTGGCCTAAAATTGCATTTTATAGTCTAGTGATAAATCTGCAAGGTGCACAGACATCACAAGGCAGGCATAACTGCAGCCAGTTAGAAACTTTACAACGAAATGTTTTGCCTCTCCCTTGAGATTTCTCACCGCACCCAAAAGAAAGTTTTCAACCCAAAATCTTGAGATGAAAGTACGGCACAGACGACTCTGAAGGATTCAGTAGAAAAATCTCTCAAATTCTTTACCCAAAGAACTCAGTAGAAGGATGGGAGGGGACAGAATTGATCAAATATTTAGAGACAATATGGTTTTTTTCCTAATTCCACCTCACAGAATCAGCCTTGAGCTGAAGCTGAGGGGTTGTCTTTCTCCCATGTGAAGAGAACAGACACTACCTCCAACTTGTGAAACTTGAAGGCGGTTCACACTTTAGTTCAACAATTGCCAGAGAAGCTCTAGTAATCCCTGTTACTGTGTGAGAGTTCAATGTGACTCAATCCAGTAGAATTTCAAAGGCAGAAAACTGCACAGGAGTAGAGTGTCTGGAAAGCTGGGAGATTCAAAGCTCTTGCCTCCTGGGACTGGAGACCAGCCTCTTGCCACTAGGTCATCAGAGCTTCCTAAATCACTCAGGAAAGGATTGCTCAACTTTATCTCGAGAAGTTGCTGGCTGAACCCAACAGTGTGGTTTTCAGTTGGAAGCACAACACTTAACCATTAACATTTCTTTCTCTCCGGCTTTGACTTTTTCAACTGTCAGGATCAACTCCACGTTCTAACAAGTCCACTGTGCCAGCAGGATACAAAGGAAAGCATTAAAAAAAAAAGGGGGAGGCAAGCTCTGGTGGCCTAGTGGCAAGAAGCTGCAACTGCAATCTCAGAGATGCATGATTCGAATCCACCAGATGCTCTGCCGGAGAAGGAGAAACAATCTCTTCCTGCACCAGTCAGATCTGATTTAACGGTATACACAAAAAATAATGAAATAAAATAAATTTTAAAAGAGTAATTAAAAAAAAAAGGGCAAAATCACCTGAGCCTTCAGCATCTTTTCTTCTTAGGATATTCCCAGCAGCACCTCGGACCTTCTATCTTTGTCATTTCTGGTCAAGCTCTAATTCCTGTTTAGAAATCTCAGACTCCCAAGGATGGTGTCCCTGGAAAAGACAATACAAAAATATTATCTCCTTGTTAAAAGTGGGAGAGGGGGAGCTCTGGTGGCCTAGTGGCAAGAAGCTGCAACTACAATCCCAGAGGTGCACGGTTCCAATCCACCAGATGCTCTGCCGGGGAAGGAGGGACAATCTCCTCCTGTACCAGTCAGATCTGATTTGACGGTACACGCACACAAAAATAATAAATTTTAAAAAAAAAGTGGGAGAGGAACATGAGGATAGACAAGTCTGACCTGCACAACCTCCACAAAGGGGAACTGCCCTAATAACAAAATGCACAACACAAATCCAGTTCCCAAGGCCTGTTTTCAAATAATCCCAACTACAATGCTACTGTTAGATGTCACCAGAAATCTATTGGAAGAGCTACCTGGACCTCACGGAAATAAACTCATTGTTCGGGGCTGCAGGGCTGCTCTCTCTCCCTTTCCCAGAATAGAAAGGATCAAACCACAGGAAGCAGGTCAACCTGCAGACAATATAAGCCTGTTCCTTACCACAAATGTTACCTGCCTAATTTCGTTCTCAAGCTATATTTTTCCAACTCGCCCAACTCACCAGCTGTATCTTGGGAGCAAAATGGGTCCTTTTCGCCCATTAAGATTTACAGTATCTGGGGAGGGAGGGAGGAAGATTTACAGTATCTGAAAACTGGTTGGACAGTCAGGTATAAGTTGATTCTGACTGTATGGAAAACAACAGCCGTTATAAAAAAAAGATAGTTGTTTTCCCTAACAAAACTCAAATTATGGAAACTAGGTGAATTCCATATAGCCATTACTAAAAAAATACTGAACCCAGCAAAAAAACGTAGAGAGTGGAGGGAGAGGGGAAGAAGAATTGAATTCTGAATTCATTGGTAAAAACTTTGGAGGTGGAGGCATGTCAGATTTCAAGTGCACAGGAATCAGCCTTGATTGCTTGATAATTCCCTCTCCTGCCTGAGCGTGAAGATCACCCAGACACCCCAAGGTCATCTGACAGCAGCCCCAGGTCCCAGCGCACAAGATTTCCCAAAGCTTCGTGTTCCTAATGATGCAGAGAACAGACACTGACCACTAGGAGATTAAAGGGACACCACACACCGCATTACTGGAAAACAGCACCTGTGAGTCTGACAAAGCCCAGAGACCCGCGAACACCCCGCCCTCGACAGCAGTGATGCCCCACGAGGGACCCGAACACACACACACACACACACACACATACACACACAAACACGCGCGCGCGCGCCGGTGTCATGAACATGAGACGCAAACTGACCAGTTCAGGAAATTCTAGCTCGTTGTTAACCAAAGTCCCCGAAAATTGAAAAACCACCGCCTTTCTGACATGTGCCTACGGTGGCCGAGGAGGCCCAGGAATCCCTGAGGGCGAACAAACGCGCAGATCCGCGCACGCGCACTAGGCCAGGCGCGCGCAGCTATGTCGCCCGGGTTCAGAAGCTGCATTTTGTCCTGTTCTCCTCCGATGCCCGTTGTCCAGAAGGGTCTGGGATTCTGATGATGACGAACGGGGAAGCTCAGCCTCCCTGGCGATTCCTGAGGACGAGATGTGGCTGCGCGCTCCTGGTAACGCTGCCGCCAAGGTGGAAACCCGCCCTTAGCAACCACAATTGCTGCGGTTGCTATGGACGCCAGAGCAGTGGCTGGTCTGCGCCACAGTCAGCACCTGGGCTCCTGTCTGCAGCTGATGTTGAGATTTTCCAAGGATTCGTTCAGCAAAAGTCATCAGTCTGATTTCTGTGGGGTCCACTGGAGTAAGTACGTTTTGATGCTTTGCGTTTTTTAGAAAAGTTCTTTCCAATGAATAAATGACTGATTATACAAAAGGCTTATCATCCAGCCTTATTTCAGACAACCAAGTACATATTTTCAAGCTCCTGATCCTTCCTCCTTGTTCCCAACTCTTTTTTTTTTTTAATTATTTTTGTGTGTGAGTGTACCGTCAAATCAGATCTGACTGGTACAGGAGGAGATTGTCCCTCCTTCCCCGGCAGAGCATCTGGTGGATTCGAACCGTGAGCCTCTGGGTGTTCCCAACTCTTGAATTCCAGTCACTAATTATTATTAATGAATCTTGGTTTAAGGCTCAATGAGTATCTGAATGTAAAATTTAGAAATGTTTTACTTTCTGCTCTTTGGCTCTGGTTATTGGTGCATATATTTGAAAGGCAGTGTTAGTAACAGACCTTTCTTTTATGTGTTTGGATGTCATTCAGTCACAATATTGTTTCTCACAAGAGGATGTAGAAATGATTTCTCTGGGCTATGAAACTGACCCCGATTTTCTTCACCTTTTCATTTCTGCCATAGATCATCTTATGAAAATGTCCCGTGGTGATCCATGTCAACTCAGAATACCTACTATGTCAATATTCATGTGTTCCAGTGTTTCCGTAAAAATGTCCACTTTTGCTTTCACACTTCTCACGTTGCATGTTCCAATCCTTAATGTCACTTTGCAACTATTCCTCCTCTTATGTGTTTACCAATATGGGGCTGAGCTTCCAGTTTCACATTTGCTAGGGTGACCTAACTGTATTCTACCGTCCATAAGCTTTTCTTTATATATAATTTTATGTTTCAGTTCTTATTTAATTTTTGGGAAGGATTTTTTTTCCTTTTTTTTAATTTTATTTTTGTGTGTCTGTGTACCGACAAATCAGATCTGACTGGTACAGGAGGAGATTTCCCCTCCTTTCCCGGCAGAGCATCTGATGGATTTGAACCATGAGTCTCTAGGATTGCAGTGCAGCTTCTTGCCACTAGGCCACCAGAGCTCCCCGAAATTTTGTTTTCGTTGTGACTTTTTTAAATGATATTTTTTCTTTGTTTTTATTGTATTATTTTTTACGTGTACCGTCAAATCACATCTGCCTGGTACAGGAGGAGATTGCCCCCTCCTTCTCCAGCAGAACATCCGGTGGATTTGAACCATGTACCTCTGGGATTGCAGTGCAGTGTCTTGCCACTAGGCCACCAGAGCTCCCTTTTTTTGTTGTGATTTAAGGTTTATAAAACAAATTCTTTTTTATTCCACCGTTTATACATATTTTGTTTTAGGACATTAATTTACATACCCATAATGTAATCACGTGTTCACCATTACGCCCTGTAATTCTGCGTAGCAGAGTTGCCCACGACAATGTATCATTTGATTTACTTTAATTTTTAGATTTTTAAGCTATTTTTATTCATTTGCCTACAGTCATTCATGTACATTGTTTCATGCATCTACATTATGTTTTATGCTTTCATGTGTATTTTATGTAATTAATTCCTATTGGCTTATGCCTATTATCACCCTACCTTTTCAAGTCTCCATTGAATCTTTGCTATTCCTTCACTCTCCCATCTGCCCACTAACCTCTATCCCAATTATCATCTGCTATCATAATTTCTCTCTTCCCCTTTTCCCACTTCATTTTCCACTTTCCCTTCCCCTTTTGAACATTTGGGCACATCAGTTATCCTTTTATTTCTACAATAATTCTTATGCAGTATTTGACCTTATGAGAGAGTTCTTTCAACCAGTATAGTGTTTTCTAGACTCTCCCATGTTGTATAGTATTTTATGGAATTGTTCCTTTTGCTGCATAGTATTCCATTTTGTGACTGTACCACAATTTCTCAATTCATTCATTTGTTGATTGTGTCCATAAGGTTTCCAAAGGCCTTCTATTTCAGAAGTGGATGGACAATCTTTCTTCCCAGCAAGTTAAAACGGAAGCTAAAGAATATGTAAACAAAACAACAAGAACCTAAATTTGACCTTGAGTCTATCCCACCTGAACGTGAAACCAACTTAAGAACAGGTTTGAGGACTAATCAGTCAAGATGTGATGACTTGTGGAAGGATATAAAGAATCTCTTCCATGAAGTATGGGAAAAGACATTAAAAATAGATGAGGAGGAAAAGAGCGAGACAGACGTTTGAAAAGATTCTGAATATTGACCTAGAAGAATATTGCTGAGAAGTTAAAGCAAAGGGAAGAAATCAGGAATTAAGAGGCTGAACACATCCTCTTCGAGGAATATACACCTGCATTCCTCACAGGAGTGCAATCCACAAGCTCCAGGAATTAACAATTTGGGGTAGGGGGAAGGAAAGACACCCTGTGCAACCCTAAAAGCACCACTCCCATTTGCAGCCCAGACCCACCTCCATCCTGGAGCCCCCGTCAGTATCTCCATAATCCTCAGCACACCACATCCACACACCTCCTTCTGCCTCTTTCATTGAGGGAAAAAAATCCAACCCAGCTCACACTGTTTTTAGTATCTTCTCCCCCGAAACACTAGTTTCAAAAAGTTGCACTTAATTACATGAAGAGATGCTTGTTGTTATATGCCGTTGAGTCGTTTGCGACTCATAGCGACCCTATGTACTACAGCCCTAAACCCTGCTCTGTCCTGTGCCAATTGCATTGCCTCTGACACTCCCATCCTGATTACCCCAGTCACTGAATCAATCCACCTCATAGAGGGTCTTCCCCTCGTGCGCTGTCCCTCCACCCTCCCAAGCATGATGTCCCTCTCCAAGGACCTGTCCCTCCTTGCAACATGTCCAAAGTATATCAGATGAAGCCTCAGAATCCTTGCCTCTAAGGAGCAGCCTGGTTTAACCCTCTCCAGGATGGATCTGTTTGTTTTCTTGGCAGTCCATGGTACATTCAATACTCTTCTCCAGCACCACAAAAAAAAAATAATGAAGAGATGCTACTCCATTGAATTCTGATCGTGGTCTCTCAACTGTGTTGACGTGCAACCACCATAAGGTGTGTGGAGTGACTTTTCCTAGCCATTATTGGATTTTGCCATGGAGATGAGTGGAAATGTGTAAATGGGGTGTCTTGGCCTAAACAGAAGGAGACTGGCTATAATTCCACAAGTGGTGCTGGACAGTCTCAACAGTGGACAGAGGTTTTGGCTAGTCTCATCGCTGACTTGAGCAAGCTAACAGGGAGAGGCAGATATATATTCTGGTGCCACTGGGCGGGGGGAAAAGCAAGACAATGTTGGAGACTTTTCTTAATAAATCTATGCCTAGAGTACCAACACCTGTGACCAAAGTGCCTCCTTTGGATCTGACGTGAAGTGGGACCTTGAGGGGGGAGGGAAGCCAGTATCTGCAAGACAGAATTTTGTTGGGCAACTGGGGGTAGGAAGCTCCCTGGGAGTTGGAAGCTAATATTCCCAGCTGAGAACTTGAGCTCAATTGTCTAACTCTGGAAACTTGAAGCTGAGGTGTCTGTGTGCACATTTTGCGAGCTCACTTGACTGTGTTATTACTTATCTGGATTATAACCTTTTGACTTCTATGTGGCCTGTGAGCTACTGCATCAGACTTTGAACCAGCAAAGCACTAAGAATGGCACTGAGATCAGGAGAAAGAGGGATAGCAGAGGGTGGGACATGTCTGACTTCAGGCAAATTGGTTCTGAGTTATTAATGCTGTTGACAGGGACAGTTCCCCTTTGTGAAGCAGGTAAAGGTAAGATATGCCTGTCCCCAAGTGGCTTTTGCTTTAAAAAAAAAAAACCAACTGAGGTCTTTTGGTGTTTTTTTTTAGTGTGTGTTTGTGTGTGTGTGGGTGTGTGTACCATCAAATCGGATCTGACTGGTACAGGAGGAGATTTCTCCCCCTTCTCCAGCAGAGCATTTGGTGGAATCGAACCACATACCTCTGGGATTACAGTGCAGCTTCTTGCCACTAGACCACCAGAGCTCCCTAAAAAAATGAGATTTTAACAAAAATTTACAGAAAACTTGCATTTCCATTGATACATTATTACACATTTTCCTCCCTCCCCCCACCCCCGTTCACTTTTCTCTTTAAAAGAATTCTTTCACTTCTGCACAATTTCCTCCCTCCCCCTACCCCAGTCCAGTTGGTTATGTACCTCTTACTCTGGACTGTTGTCATGCAAATAACACCTAATCATATATTCCTTTGAAACAGCTCTTTCCCTCATCTGTTTCAATACAGTGTACATCATCTATCCCCTTTTCTTAGTTTTCCCCCAACCCCCATGTCAGTCTTGTTTTATAACCGTGGCACTATGCAGAATTTGTCCTTTTGTGACTGTAATATTTCACTCAGCATAATGTCCTCCAAGGTCACCCTTTTTAAAAAAAAATTTATTGTATTATTTTTATGTGTACCGTCAAATCAGATCTGACTGGTACAGGAGGAGATTGCCCCCTCCTTCTCCAGAAGAACATCTGGTGGATTTGAACCGTGTGCTTCTGGGATTGCAGTGCAGCATCTTGCCACTAGGCCACCAGAGCTCACTAAGGTCACCCATTTTTAATAATATTGCATGAGTTCCCTGATTTTCAGTGCTGCCTAGTATTCCATAGTGTAAATACACTACAGCTTCTCTGCTGATGGGAACTTGGGTTGTTTCCATCCCTTTGCTACTGTGAACAATTCATCAATAAACACAATAAACATAGGTCAGCAAACCTTGCTCTTTTGACAAAGTTCAAGAACAATGGCTTTGCCAGTATGGCTTTAGGATAAGAGGTAATGTCTGCTCCCCATGCAAGAAGCATGGAAGCAATCATATTTACACATCCAGAATTTAGAAGAAAAGTGTTGTTGCAGAGAAATAAGACACCCCCACACTCACTGAGACATACAGAGCAAGAGTAGAAGTGTTTCCATAGGTGTAATCTTTATTGAAGCCAATTGTCAGATCTTCTCAGAGGAAGAAATTGGTGGGTTAAAAAGTCCTTAGCGGCTGAGAACCTTGAACTACTGTGTCAACAGGGCTCCTGTTTCAGTCAGCAGATAAAAAGAGATTTTTACTGATACAATGGTTAAGAGTTTGGCTATAGCCATAAATGTTTTTAAAAGACTCCGCAGTAAGTAATATGGGAATCCCTTGGCTTCTGGGAAAACATTGGGCATCAATGTTCAGACTCATGACTAAAGAGAGACACATACAGTCAGTGGCATTTCTGGTTTGCAGATTATACATTGGCTGGAGTGGCAAGATACCATTCAGCTATGACATTTTGCTTATTATAAACCACTCGTATCCTAATTATGAAAACAGGATGAGGAACAAAGGAAATAGAATAAAAATACTTCATAAGAGCAGCAATAAAGGTTCAAAATAAGAGCTCAACATTAAAAAACAAAACAGCAAAACCAAATTCATAGAGAAAGCAGGAGACTATTGAATACGGCTTCACATATCCCTCTGCAAGATACTCGCTATATTTGGTAGACTATCTAATTTTTGGTGAATGGTTCACTTATCTGGGCACACTGAAGTGCCCACTCTCTTTCCAAATCAGGACTTCCTCTATCCTGTCTACCCTCTCCTATGTGACGTTACATATAAAGCAATATTCTAGATAATGAGGGTCCTTCCTGTTTAAAAAAAATGTGTCATATTTGTTCATTGTGAATTAGCATGGGGACAGCCAAGTCTGACCCCAACTAAATGCACAAGGGGAACACCTCCCTGAGTGATAGATAGGAAACAGTTCAAATTCACACTTAGCGTTGAGATTCCCACTGAAGCAAATTCTGCTGAATCATAAGGATTCTCTTCTGTATAGACACTCGGCTACCCACGGAGGGTTCATGTCCAGGAGCAAGCTGTCCCTGAAAGGTCTGTTCTTCCTGGTTACTAGTCCACTGATGTTGAATGCAGTTACGGCTGTGACTGAAGACAATGTATTACTAGAGCTTCTCTCCCCTTAACTGCTTGAATTAAATTTAGAAGCAGAGGCAAACATCTGCTGACTTTCCTGGCATATATACCAAAAGGAATTGGAGGTCACAGAAGAATTTCATCAAACAAATTATGAGCAAGAGACTGGTGATGAAGAAAGAAGGTCCAACTGCTCTGAAAGAATTAGAAAAAAACCCAAACATCATGGCCTCTGGAATTGATGGCATTACCAACTGACATATTTCAACAAAAAGATGCTGCTCTGGATGCACTCCACCAAGTTGTGCCAAGAAATCTGGAGGACAACCACCTGGCCAGCTGACTGGAAGGGATCTGTATCTGTCCCCATTCCAAAGAAAGGTGCAGAAATTATCAAACAGTTTCATTGACATATCATGTGCATGCAAGATACTGCTGAAGATTATGCAAAAAACGACTGGAACAGCCCATCACCAGAGAACTGCCTGAAGTGCAGCCTGGGTTTAGAAGAGGCCGTGGTACCAGGGATATTATAGCTAATGTCAGATGGATCCTGGCTGAAAGCAGAGAGGACCAGAGGATTATCTATCTGTGTTTCATTGACTATGTAAAGGCATTTGACTGTGTAGATCACAACCAACTGGCTGACTCTGACAAGAATGGGAATCCCAGAACACTTGATTGTGTTTATGTGAAACCTATACTTGGACCAGGAGGCAGTCGTCAGAACAGAGTAAGGAAACATTGCATGGTTTAAAATTGGTGAGGGTATGTGCCAGATCTCCATACCTTTTAATCTCTATGCAGAACAAATTATCCCTGAGGTTGTTCTCTATGAGGGGGAAATTAGCATCAGGATTGGAGGTAGGCTTATCAACAATCTGCATTATGCAGACAACACAACCTTGCTTGATGAAACTGAGAAGCCCCTGAAGTGCTTGCTGCAGAAGGTCAAGGACTGCAGCCTCCTATATGGATTGAAGCTCAACATCAAGAAAACAAAGATTCTCACCACTGGACCAACTGGAAGCATCATTATGGTTGGTGAAGAGATTAAGATTGTTAACAGCTTTAGGTTGCTTGGCTCCACCAGCAAGACTCTGAGTACCACCAGCATCCAGAAAATAAAAAGATGAATTGCACTGGGAAAGCCTGCTGTCAGAGACCTCTCCAAAGTACTGAAGAGCAACAATATCAGTCTAGAGACTAAGGTGTACCTGATCCAGGCCATAATCTTTACAGTTACTTCCTATGCATTAGAAAGCCAGACAATGAGTAGGTATGATAGGAGAATTGATGCTTTTGTGCTGTCGTGGTGGAAGAGAGTACTGAATATACCATGGACTTCTAGGAGAACAAACAAGTTCTTCCTAGAGAGGGTGAAACCAGGCTTCTCCTTGGAGGCAAGGATTCTGAAGCTTCGTCTGACATACTTTGAACATGTTGCAAGGCAGGACCGTTCCTTGGAAAGGGATTATTTTGCTTGGGAGCATGGAGGGACAGTGCACGAGAGGAAAGACCCTTGATAAGATGGATTGGTTTAGTGATGAGGGTAATGGGGGTAGGTGTCTCAGAGACAATAAGATTGGCACAGGATAGAGCAGGGTTTAGGGCTGCTGTACATAGGGTCACTATGAGTCGCAGGCAACTTGACGGCACATAACAAGAAGAAGATAGGATGTCTCACCCTTAGGAGATCTTTCATGGACAGTGAGCTATTCCTTTATCTTGAAGGTCATGTGACATTCACTCCATTAAAAGGGTACCTCCCCTCATGAATTCTCCAGTGTCTACTGCGACTTGAGTGCTGGGCATAAGACCTTCCACATTCACTACATGAAAAGGAAGTCTTTCCTGTGAGAATTCTTTTAGGTGGTAAGAGGCATGGCTGTGATTGACATCTGTGCCAAATGCACGGCCCATCCTGGGTTTCTCTGCAGCATGCATTTGCTGGGGAGCAACTAGACTCGTCTTTTGGGCGAACCCTTTACGACACGGATCACGTACAGACAGTTTTCCTCCAGCGTGAGTGCACTTGTGAAGACTGAGACTTTTCTTCTCGACGAAACTCTCCCCACACTCCGTGCAAGCATAGGTTTTTGCTCTGGTGTGTGTGCGTTGGTGTTTAAAAAGGTTTGTTTTCTGGAAGAAGCCTTTACCACATTCACATTGAAAGGGTTTCACTCCAGTATGAGTTTGCTGGTGGAGAGTGAGCAGACTCTTCTTCCTGTAGTTTTTGCCACACTCCTGGCACGCGTAAGGTCTCTCGCCAGTGTGGATGCGCTGGTGAACAGTGAGGCCTGCCTTCTGCTTGAAGCCTTTATCACATTCCCCACATTTATAGGGTGTCTCTCCAGTGTGAGTTCGCTCGTGGATGGTGAGATAGATCTTCCTGATGAAGTCTTTTCCACACACCCCACACACAAAGGGCTTCTCTCCAGTGTGAGTCCGCTGATGGACGGTGAACTCTGCCTTCTGGACGAAACTTTTACCGCATTCACTGCATTGGTACGGCTTCTCCACAGTGTGAGTTCGCTGGTGGATATTGAGGTCCTTCTTCCGGATGAAGCCTTTCCCACACACGCTGCACAAGTAGGGCTTCTCTCCGGTGTGGGTCCGCTGGTGGTACGTGAGTTCTTTCTTCTGGATGAAGGCTTTACCGCACTCACCACATTGATAAGGCTTCTCCCCAGTGTGAATTCGCTGATGGACTGTCAAGTCACACTTCCTGTTGAATCCTTTCCCACACTCGCCACACCGATAGGGTTTCTCCTCAGAGTGGATTAGCTGATGGAGGGTGAGGTGACAGTTCCTCACGAAGCCTTTGCCGCACTCTCTGCAGACATAGGGTTTCTCTCCGGTGTGCGCGCGCTCGTGGTAAGTGAGCTCTGACTTCTGGATGAAGCCTTTCCCACACTGGCTACATTTATAGGGTTTCTCGCCCGTGTGGATCTGCTGGTGGAAGGTGAGGTGGATCTTCCGGATGAATCCTCGACCACATTCGCTACATTTAAAGGGCTTCTCCCCAGTGTGAGTTCGCTGGTGGACGGTGAGTTCGTTCCTTGTGATGAAACCTTTCCCGCACTCCCCACACACGTACGGTTTCTCTCCCGTGTGGATGCGCTCATGAATAACAAGTCCTGCCTTATGCTTCAAGCCTTTACCACATTGCCCACACTTATAAGGTTTCTCCCCGGTGTGAGTTCGCTGATGGACAGTGAGTTTACTCTTTGTGATGAAGCCTTTCCCACACACGGTGCACACAAAGGGCTTCTCTCCGGTGTGGGTGCGCAGGTGAACCACGAGCTTGGCCATCTGGGCGAATCCCTTGCCACAGTCGGCACACTGATAGGGTCTCTCCCCAGTGTGAATTCGGTGGTGGATGATAAGGGACCGGTTCCTGATGAACCCTTTTCCGCAGTCCTTGCACACAAAGGGTTTCTCTCCAGTGTGAGTTCGCTTGTGAATGGTGAGATTTACCTTATTAGTGTAGCTCTTCCCACATTCACCGCACTCATGGCGTCTGGTCATTTTGTGGCCCGTCTGACTCTTGTGGCCTTTACCCTCACTGCTCCTGGATTTGTGATTCTCAGAGAAAGGAGACTCTGGACAAAGCTGTTCACGATCACCATGGAACACATTTTTCCCATCTTCCTTAAGCTCACGGTCCTTTCTTTGATTGCATCCACTCTGGTGGACTGCTGGTAGAGCTAAAGTTGCTTTTAGAGTTTTTTCAGGAAGTTCACACAGACCATGGTTTTCCATAAAATGCAAGTGAGTTTTGTGCTGACGAGCTGCATTTTCCAATGCAGGAAGGTGATTGGAGTGTTCCAGTCTGTGTAATCGTTCATTAAACAAGAGCCCACACAGATGATCAACAGCTTTCTGGGTATCTGTAAAATAAGAAAATAAGGAATCTTTCTTTCATCAATAGAATAGAGGAATTTTAAAAAAAGAAATAAAAATTATTGATATACTTTAGATTTTTAATGAGGACATTTGAATTTGAGTGTAAATAAAGTATCAGACTTACTGTTAATTGCACAGTAATAAAAACACAAAATAACTGGTACAACCACCATGGAAGGTAATATGGCACTTTCTCACAAAGTTGCAAATAGAAATACCATTTGACCCAGCAATACCACTACTGGGAATATACACCCAAAGAGACCATAACTGACAGCCAAGCAGATATATGCACACCCATGTTTATTGCAGCTTTGCTCATAATAGCAAGGAGTTGGAAACAACCAAAGCACCCATCAACAAATGATGGATAGAGAAGCAGGAACTCATGCAATATTATTCAAAATGGGTGACCCTGGAGGACATTATGCTGAATGAAATATCTCAGTCACCAAAGCACAAATACTGCATAGGGGCACTGTTGTAAAACACGATGGACATCAGGGTTCATGGGAGACTGAGAAAGATGGGATAAATATAGTGCATTGAAACAGAAGAGGGAGAGAACTGTTTAAAAGGGATATGTGATTAGGTATTATTGTAATGATAGGAGTCCAGAACAAAGTCTGCATAGTGGAGCCGACTTGGGGGAAGGGATTGCATAACAGCGAAAGAGTTTTACTTTTCAAAGAGAAGAGTGTACTGGGGTGGGGAGGGAGAAAACTGCAACAATGAATGAATGGAAATCCAAAGTCTTTGTAAATTTTCACTGAAATCAATAATAAATTTTTAAAAAGTAAAAAAAAAAAATAGAGTGGAAAAAGGTGCTGAACCCTTAAGACAAATAGGAAGTTCCCTGTGGTTAGAGATTTACAAAGTGGTGTTTTATAGAAAGGGTTAAATCTACAGGAAATAAAATGATGGGAGCAAAAATAAAAAAAAATGTAGAACAAATGAACAGATAGGATCTCTGAAGTAAGGCTATGTATTTCTCTAAACTCTTAGAAAAAGGGACAGAGGAACACGTGGAGTATAAAACTCAGACGCCATCATTCATGTGACAGGTTCTTTACTTAAATGAGGCTTCCACAGCCTTCTCCTCCCACGGCGACTCTCTGACTCACCTGAAAAGCTTTCACTGTGCTGTTCAGAGAACCCAGTCCGTGGTTGGTCTCCTCGTACCAAGTTGGGGAATGCAAGAGGTTTGTGACGTTGACACCCTGTTCATGAGAAAGCAGACATCTTAGACACGCTAGACCAATAGTAATTTTGGGAAGGCTTTTGAAAAGTATTTACCACAATAGAAACATTTCAAAGGTACAGAGTAAAGACTTTTCTGTGAGGCACAGAAAGAAGTACAGCCAGGAGTAGACTGAGAACCTGTGACTTCAGAGCCCCACAGACACTGCAAAGATTTCACACCGGGGAGAGGAAATGCCCAAGCCAGGAGAGTGGTCCTCACCGATGGACACCAGGTTTCTGTAGTTCTCCAGCATCACGTCCTGGTACAGGGCCTTCTGAGCAGAGTCCAGAAGCCCCCATTCTTCCCGAGTGAAGTTCACAGCCACGTCACTGAAGGTCAGTGTTTCCTGTAAGAATAAAAAGACACTGTTTAATGAAATATTTCCAAATTGATGGTACCAATGCAATGTGAGGGAAGCTGTTCAGCTCTTTTCCTCAATGTCAGCTGCTACATCTACCTACCAAACATGCTTTTATTCAGATATTTCAGAGAAAACACAAGACCTTTACGTATAATTCTGAGTTTATACCTTCAGTAATCCGGCCACTTGAGATCAGGATCTACTATAGAGTACAGAAGTGAGTATACTATACTATAGTATACTACAGAGTATAGAAGTGAAAATATATTCAAAATATTTCAAATTTTACACACAACAACAACAGAGGTACATATGCACAACCCAAACATGTATATAACTATATCAACAGGGAAGTGAGCTCCCACTATTGTAAAATGAGAGCTGGCTGATCAATAGTTAACACTGGCACTGTCAGATGTGTCTAATTTATGGGGATAATGACAGAATCTTCCTGCACCCACAACCTTTAACTGATTCCCACACAGTTGTCCCCTTGAGTTCCTTAATCCGTGGTGATGAGCGTGTGGAACTCACTGACACATCACTAAAGGTAAATGGTTCACTAAGGAACAGAGTAGATATTGGTTGTCAGCACCTGCCACTGGCCTCTTCTCCAACTGGGGCCATCAACTCTCCCCATGGGCTCCTCTAGGTCTGTTGCCACTGGCTCTGATCCGGAGCCCCCAGACATCTCCTGGTGTCACCACTGAGAAGGGGTCCCTGCCTCCTTTCTCTCTACGACCTTCTGTTTCTTTTTTTTT